GGATATATGGGGGTGGCTCAGTCGTTAAGCGTCTGCCTTTGGCTCAGGTCATGATCCCAGGGTCCTGGGATGAGCCCCGTGTTGGGCTCCTTGCTCAGCGGGAAGCCTGCTTCTCCCTCTCCCTCTGCCCCTGCTCGTGTTCCCTCTCTCGCTGTGTCTCTATCAAATAAATAAATAAAATCTTTTTAAAAAAGAGGATATATGGACAGCAAATAAGCACGTGAAAATAAGTTTAACATCATTAGCCTTTAGGACAATTGTAGTGTAAGTGCCTGACAATTAGCTTTTTGATTGCAACATAAATGCCTGATATTAAGCTTTCGATTGCCAAAACATCCATATCAAAGACATTCACCTCAAATAAACACATTACCAGCCACACAATGAGATAGCCAGGTGACCCCAACCATAAGGTTCCCTTTTAGAAAGCCCTGGTGACCTAGATAACTGACTGCGTGACCTTACTTTTCCCTTCCCAAGCTTTAATTCCCTCTCTTTCGTCTTAAATTCACCAATGAAGAATGAACCTATGAAGCCCTAGGCACCCTACCCTTGACCCCAGTAAAGGCAGATCTCCAGCTCTGCATGCTCTTTCTCTCTATCTCTACCCATGACCTCACTGTATGGCACCTGGTGTGCTGTGTACTCTCCAGAACCTGAGTAATAAGCCTTGTTTTTTCAAAGTTCCCTGATGGTTGTTGCTGAGGTGTGTCTTGAAATCATAATAACAACCACAAAAACCGGGCCAGCCACAGCATTGACTCCAGTGAGGAAATGTCTTTGTGGGCTTGCCCCAAGTAGTCTGGGCCCAGGTGAGTGCCTCCAGGCATTTCTAGCTGAGAAACTGATCTAAAACAAAAATGCAAATTAAAATTACAATGAGATATCACTACACATTTATCAGAATGGCTAAAATTAAAAAAGAAAAACAGTGACGATACTAAATACTGGCTAAGATGCAGAGAAAATCAATCCCTCATATATTGCTGATGGGAATGTAAAGTGGTACAGCCACTCTAGAAAATAATGTGAGTTTCCTATAAAACTAAATGTGTAATTACCATATATCCCAGCAATTATACTCCTAGGCATTTATCCCAGGGAAATCAAAACTTCCATTTATACAAAAACTTGTACATGGATGTTAACAGAAGCTTTACTTGTAATAGTCCAAAACTGGAAACAATACAGATGTCCTTCAATGGGTAAATGGTTAAACTAACTCTGGTGCATCCAGACAACGGAATCCTACTCTGCAACTAAAAGGAATGAACTATTGATACATGACGACTTGGATGGATCTTAAGGGCATTACACTTAATGGAAAAAAACCAATCTCAAAAGATTATATACTGTATGATTCCATTTATATAATATCCTTGAAATGATAAAGCTATAGAGATGGAAAATAGATCAGTGATTGCCAGGGCACAGGGATGAAGGCAGAGGTGTGTGATTATACAGGTGGGGTTCTAGGTAGTTACTCTATGGTGATGAAACAGTTCTATGTCATAAGGGTAATAGGGGTCATACAAATCTGTATATATGAGATCAAATTGCATGTATACACACACACACACACACACAAATGAGTGTGCATAAAAATGGTGAAAACTGAGTAAGGTCTATAGTCTAATTAACAGTATTGTATCAGTGTCAATTTCCTGTTTTGATATTGTACTCAATTATGTAAGAGTCACCATCGTGGGAAGCTGGGTAAAGGGTCCAATGGGTCCAACTTCCTGTGAATCTGCAATCATTTCAAAATAAAAAGTATTTTAAAAAATTTATTGTGTATTTTTAATCTTCAATACAAACTTTTAATACAACCCACACATTTTTCCTTAAATTAAACGGCTGATTTTTCTTAAACATTACTTTTTCCAGGTATAGTTATATACTATAAAATTTGCCAATCATGGGGCACCTGGGTGGCTCAGTCAGTTAAGCATCTGCCTTCGGCTCAGGTCATGATCCTGGGATCGAGCTCTGCATTGGGCTCCCTGCTCAGTGGAGAGCCTCCTTCTCCCTCTCCCTCTCCCTCTGTTTGGCATTCCCCCTGTTTGTGCTCTCTCTCTGTCAATATAAATAAATAAAATCTTAAAAGAATTTAAAAAAATAAAATTTGCCAGTTTAAAGTGCACAATATGGTGGGTTTTAGTTACTCACAAGGTTGCATAACCATCATCATTATCTAATTGCACAAAATTTTCATCATCCCCAAAAGAAACTCCATACCCATTAGCAGTCACTCCCATTTCCCCTCTCCCCTAGTCCCTGATAACCACTAATCTACTTTATGTCTCTCTGTCTCTTTATATTTGCATATTTTGGACATTTCATAGAAATGGAATTATGTAATAAACAGCCTGTGTTTCTGGCATCCATGTTGCGGTGTGTATCAGTATTTCATTCCTTCTATGGTTGCATAATATTCCATCGCATAGGTATACCACATTTTGTTTATCCATCCATCAATTGATGGGCTTTTGGATTGTTTTCATTTTTTTTGTTATTATAAATAATTGCGCTATGATCATCCACGTACAAATTTTTGTGTGGTGATGTATTTTCAATTTTGGGAGGTATATATGTAAGAGTGGGACTGCTGGGTCATATGATAATTCCATGTTTAACTTTTTGAGGAACTGCCAACTTGTATTCCAAAGGGGCTGCACCATTTTACATTCCTAACAGGAATGCCTGAGGGTTCTAATTTCTCCACATCCCTCAATAATACTTGTTATTGTCTACCTTTTTTATTATAGTCATCCTAGTGAGTGTGAAATGGTATCTCATTGTGGTTTTGATTTGCATTTCCCTAATGATTAATAATTTGAGCACCTTTTCGTTTGCATATCTTATTTGGAGGGATGGCTATTCAAATTCTTTGCTCATTTTTTAAAAGATTTATTTATTTTTAGAGAGAGAGAACGCGAGGGAGAGAGAGCGTGCATCTGCCTGTGAGTTGGGGGGAGGGGCAGAGGGAGAGAATCTCCAAGCAGACTCCCCGCTGAGCACAAGCATGGAGCTCGCCTGGAGCTTGATCTCCTGACCCATGAGATTACAACCTGAGCAGAAACCTAGAGTTGCACACTTAACCAACATTGGGTGACCGAGCCATCCAAGCACCCCCCTTTGCTCACTTTTAATTGTGCTGCCTTTTTGTCATTGAGTTGTAAGAGTTCTTTATATATTCTGCATGCTAGACTCTTATCAGACACATGATTTGCAAATTTCTCCTATTCTGTGGGTTGATTTTCACTTTCTTGATAGTTTTCTTTGAAGCACAGAAGTGTTTAATTTTAATGAAGTCCAACTTATCTATTTCTTCATTTGTTGTTTGTGCTTTTGGTGTCTTATCTAAGAATCCATTGCCAAATCCAAGACCAGCAAACTTTACTCTTCTGTATTCTTCTAATAGTTTTATAGTTGTAGCTCTCAACTTTAGGTCTTTGGTCCATTTCAAGTTAAATTTTGTGTATGGTTTGAGGTAGAGTTCCAACTTCATTCTTTTCCATATGACTATCCAGTTGTCCCTGCATCATATATTGAAAAGACTATTCATATATTGAAAAGACTATTCTTTCCCCCTATTGAATTGCCTTGGCACCTTGGCAAAAATCAATTGGCCATACATGTATGGGTTTGTTTCTGGATTCCCAATTCCAATTTATTGATTTTTTTAATGAATAAATTATTTTCTCTGAAGTCTAACCTGGATCCACTCTGAGTAGAATCCATGTCACTTGGCCCACACTTATGAACTAACTTCAATGGGGTACCATGGGTCCTTATTTAGGAAAATGAAGCCAATTAATAGGTCTCTAGGAAATGAGGAATGGGAGGTGTGGTGGTTGATGTATTAGGAAGACCTTTGGATTAGAATTAGCAAGACCTGGGGTTGAATGCTGCTTCTATCCAAAGCTGTGTGACTATGGGCAAGTTACTTAACTTCTTTGAGTTTTAGCTACTGTGATATGGAGATGACAACATTGTCACAGGGTTGGGGCTGGCATTAAGAGACAAAGATTGTGAAAACGGTGGCATAATCCCTGTTACACAGTAGGTACTTGACATAAAGTAGACTCAGTCTGTGCATGGTCTCATGGCTCCCTTCTTTCTGACCCACGATGGTTATGTGGGGTTAGGAGAGATGGGTGACTCAGTGGGTATCTATGCCAATTCTCACAGTTTTGCTCCTGTCTCCTACACTGTGTAGCAGTTCTGGTTCCTCTCCCTCACCTTTTCTGTCAGAGGACGTATAGAGGATGGAAGCAGAAAAGGAAAATGGCTCTCCACAGACCAGCTTCCTGGCTGGGTTGGAGGGAAGCCCAGTAGTGAACCACAGTAATTAGAAACTAGTCATAGCCTGTTTTACATATCGAGAACTTTATTTTTTTTCCAAATTTTAATTTAATTTCTAGTTAATTAACAGATAGTGTGATCTTGGTTTCAGGAGTAGACCTTTACTTTTATGGAAGAGACAGCATAACTGCATGCAAAAGTTTTTGCCCGTGTAGAACTGGGTCACAAGTGAGGGAATCCTTTCTGCTTGGATCAGAAACTACAGGTCAGGTCTCTGGTTTACCTTGTTGTATTTCCCAAATTGTAAGGAGGAGGAGGAAACAAACCATTCCTGTTCTCAACAAGGCTTCTAAGCCTAAAGCTACATCGTGATGGTGTCACTAAGGCTTGGGAGGAAGGAGCAGTGGTGTTCTTTGGCTTCTCATTGCTTTGATCAGAGAGCCGGCTGGAGTCAGGGGGCACACAAAGTCTGTGGATTTATAAGACTCTGCTTTCTAAAGTGGGTTGTTCCCTACTCTTCCTCTGCCCCTCTGGTTCCTTCCGCCAAGCCAGATTCATTAAGTACTTTCTGGCTTGGTTGGCCTCTCTCACACCTGAGATCCTCCTCTCTCCCCAAATTCTCCCTTCTGGCTGGCCCTACCTGGATCCCTCAATGCTCTAGGAGTTTAGTAATGGGGGAGACCTAGTTCCTCTTATATGATTTTCAGCTCCTGGCTCTCAGGAAGGCCATACTGAACTTTGTGCTGGTCAAACAGCTTGCGCAAGGCATCGATGTAGAGTGCATGGTACTTGTCCACTGTCGTCTTGTCTGGCCTCTTAATCTTGGGGATTGGCAGGGGCTCCCCGACTATGGGGAAGGAGAAGAGACAAGTATCAGAGCCTCCCCTCCCCAATTCAAATTACCCATCCCTCAGAAGGAGCCACATACTGAAACTCAGTATCTGTGTCCCCTCCCCTTCCTTTGTTCTTTCCCTCTGCTCTAGCTCCATCCCATCCATATTCTCCAAATACCTAATCTTATGCATGCTGAAGAGAATGAGAACAAGCTCAGAAGAGTGATGAAGGAATGCTTGCGAATAAAGATGCTCTCATGGCAGCTATTAAATGGCCGCAACTCTTATCTGTTTAGTTGTCCTGCCCACCTTGCCCTCAGCCATATCCCTCTGGAATTCCCATTGCCCATCCCAGCTGTTTGCTGGGCCTCCTGGACTTGACTGATGATCTGGGTGGTGGGGGGGGAATCAACAACAAGGGTGGTCCAGAGGTATTGGAAAGCTTACCAACAGTGGTAATGGGCCGATTGAAAGGAAGGAAGCCCCAGGATTCTCGAGTGAGGCCTCGGCCATGGAAAGTACAAAGATTTAGTCCCAGGATTTTTTTGAATGTGGCCTGGAAGATTTTTTGGAAGAACCTTATCCACGTGCCCTCAGGGAATGTCTCTTGATTGTGAACCTCATTCTCTCCAAAGGAATAGGAAGGGACAAGGTATGCTCTGCAAAGAAACGAACAGAAGTATTAGCTCTCCCAGGGAGCTCCCCCCAGGAAAATCCTCTCCAAGATATGAAACTTTTCCAATCTTCGCATTATAGGACAAGAACCCAAGCACCCAAACATCTTCAGCTTTCTTGCCAGGCTCCACCCTTCCAACTGAACCCTTTGGGGGGAGCTCCTGCACCTTGTCCTCTGATAGGAAGAAACTAATCTTAGGCAATCTAACTGTTTTCATTGCACCCAGCATCCAGAGTGATCTTCCTAAACTGCGTATCTGGACATGTCATTCCTCTCTTTAAAACTCTTCCAGAGATCCTCACTTTGTATCATGCTGCTTACCGTGGCTTTTGTGCTAGCTTCCCCTCTCCCCACCCCTTCCTTGCAATCTGCTTAGCCATACTAAGCGTGCCAAGTTGTTTCTTGTCTATGCTTCTTCGTACATTCTGCTTCCTCTGCCGGAAATGCCTTCCTTCTGTCTTCACATGGCTAATTCTATTTTGCCCTTCAGTGCTCAGCTCCAATTTCAATCTCTTGAAGAAACCTTTTTTGACTACCTCCAATTCCCTCCCCCACAATATGAATTAGGTACCCCACACTAACACTATTCTAACCCAGTTATTACAGTTATCTCCTTACCTGTCTGACTCCCTAGTTGTCTGTCAAGCTGATTGAAGGTGGGAAATTTGTCATTCATCTTTGGATCTCTAGGTCCTCGCATAGTGCTTGATATGTTGTAGGTCCCCTGAGTTCTTTCTCCCTTTTGGTCTGACTGGCAACTCCTACTAATATTTTAGCTCATAATTCAGATGTCACTCACTTATGAAACTACTTGGAGAGTGAAAGTTTTGCCATCAGTTGTTCCCACAGGACTTTGTATATATCTCTATTACAGCACATCATTCATTCAACAAATATTTATTGAGCTCTTTCTATGTGTCAGCACTGGTTTAAGCCCTAGGGACACATCAGTGAACAAAATGGATTAAAAAAAAAATCTCTCGCAGTTTTTCTTGAGGGAAGACAGACAGTAAACAATAATAACAAATAAACAAAGAACCAGATACATAAATAAATAAAATCCGTGATATATAAGATGATAAATGCAACAGGAACAAAATAGAGCAAGATGATCAAGATAGACCTTACTGAGAAGAAACATTTGAGCAAGTACCTGGAGGAAGTAAAGGAACGAGCCAAGCAGTTATTTGGAGGAATAGTGTTCCAGGAAGAAGGGACAGCTAGAGCAAAAACCCTAAGGCAGGAGCATGTGGCTTGTTTGAGGGACAGCAACAAGTCTACTGTAGCTCTAATAGAGTGAGCAAGGGGGAAAGCAGTGAGTGATGAGAGGTAGCTAAGGACCAGATTATTTAGGGTTTTGCAGGCCCTCATAAAGACTTTGGCTTTTGGTCAGAGTGAAATGGGAGCCATTGGAGCATTTGGAGTAGTGACATAATCTCACGTTTAATGGAATCATCCTAGCTGCAGTTGAGAATAGATTCTTGGATGTGGGGGAGGCAGAGAAAGAAGCAGGTAGAGCAGTTAGGAGACTGTAATAATCCAGGGGAGAGGTGATGCTAGTTTAAACCATGGGGGGTTATAGTTGAGATGATAAGTGGTTGGCTTCTGGATATATTTTGTAATTACATGTGCATATATCTGTTGTTCCCATGGGACTGTCAGTTTCTTAAAGGCAAGGACTAGGTCTTATTTATTTTTACATCCTTAATGCCTAGTACTATGCCTGACACACAGTGGTGTTCAGTAACTGCTGAATGAATGCCTTCTGTTTTTCAAACCAGATTATATGCTCTTTGGGGGCAATAACCATGTCTTCCTTATTTTTGCAATCCCCACAGCCCCAAGCCCAGTGCCTTCCTTGCCCTGGGTAGGTTTTCTGGACCTCTTAGTTAGTGGGTTGATATAGAGTAAAGCTCCACTTCCCCAGACCCCCAGATAATGGGCAGAAGGTAAAGGTCTTTTCCTACTGTTCTTTCTCCAACTTCAAGTAAAAGAAGTGCCTACAAATGTATCTAGAGCCCTATACACAGTTAAGACACAGTGTGAAGGAGCAGAGGACAGCAATCAGAGTAAAGAGGGAGCCCCCTCTAACAGGTTTCCAAAGGAGGGAACGATTCTGGAGAGGTGCTACAGAGTACCTATGGCACCCTGACAATAGGGCACCAGAACCTGGGGACCCACCCTGTCTTCAGTGCCAACTTCACGAAACCTTTACGTTCTTTAAGGTAGATGGTAGAGGCTCCTGGCCGGCACAAGAGGGCTTCAGCAGCTCCACCCACCACAATAACCACAGCATTTCCTGCACTTTTCTGGGTCAGCAAATACTTCAAAGCCAAGCCACTCACTGGGCACACACCTGTGAAACCAAAAAGTCAAGTGGCATAACAAACTTGGTGCCTGAGATTGGGGAAAGGGGTTTCTCTGTGCTCTTCATGCTGGAGACAGTTCTGTTTCCTGACTATCATTGTTTCCACTCTTCTGTCTTTGACCTCCACATCCTGGGTTAGCCCTAGTGTGAGGTTGGTCCCTAGGGTCAACTGCTTGCCTTGCGGGGGGTAGGGGGGGTGGTCTGTGATACTATAGTTGGGCCTACATTGAGTTCCTCTGCTTGCTGTCTCTTAGATCAATAGTATCTACTCTCACCAGTCTTACAGCTCTGGAAACTGTCCAGAGTTCGATCTCTCAGGGGTGATCAGGACTAGCCACTAGCCACCACCAACCTTCTGCCTTTCCACTTTGGCTTTGGTCCTGAACTCCAGCCTTCTGCTCCTTCTTCTGAAAAGATTCCTGGCAACTCTTATAAATGCCTATAACTTATCCTACTGACTAACTAAACCCTACCTCCCAGATCTTAGACAGAACCTGATGCGTGGCCGCATACTCTTCTTGTTACTGGTCCAATGTGTTCTGGACTCATTTTCTACTAAGTCCTCTTCCAGCAGGATGTGAGATGTGGACCGTCAGGGCTTATTGGGGTTGGAGCTCTGAGGTAGGTCAAAGAATGGAATGATTTCTTATACTCACCCATTGACATCACATAGTCTCGCACAATTGGGAGCCAGAAGATCCATTCCAAGGTCCCTAAGGAAGGAGTGATGGCTGGGAAAATCCGAGCAAAGCTAGTGGCCTCAGTAGCAAAGTTGATAAACACACCATAAGAGACAATGCCATGGGGGTGATTGGCAATGATATAGTTGTGTTTGGGAGAGAGGTCATGAGTCTTCACCAGCTGTTAAAGGGAGATTAAGTCAGAGTGGTAGATACGAAGAACAAATCCTGGTTCCTTGGGATGTCATCACTGTCATAGGATTGCCAGGGGTTATGATGCTCAGAGAGGCTGACCTGGGTTTGCCACTGTGAAGAAAGGCTTCTATCCATCCATCTCCCCACCTGCCCATCCATCTTGGATGCCTACTCTGCATTACACTTTTGGGCCTTGACTTTCACTGTTGGTCACCAAAGCCTTTGAATACATGGAACTAAGAGGGGAGAGAGAGTCTGGGCCACAAGAACCAAGGGCACCAAAAGGAAGGGTAGTTACCTTTATTGGGAAATAATTTTGAAAATACTTCCAGAGGGTCCAATTTCGTACCCAAGCTGAACGCCTACCACCTGTGGGTACAGGAGGGAAGGAAAGAGCAGGTAAGATACTGCCAATCCCTCAAACCTCTCCCAGAGGTGGAGGGTTCTTCTTACATTTCTCAGGTCCACAGAAGAGGTCCCCCTTTCACACTTCCATATTTCTAGAGCACAGAGCTGTAGGTACTGTCTCTGAATCCAACCCCCAAGAAGATATAGGAGGACCCTGATCTCCTGTAGCCAGCCAGGAAAGTGATAGGAAAACATCCCAAGTTTGGGGGCACCTGCCCTGAAACCTCTTAATCCTTCCTGGGAAACCTGGAAGAGATCTCTGCTCCTGGCTGAGCTATGCTCTCCTCTATCCTTCTCCTTCCCTCTAACCCTATTTGCTTCTTTCCCTTTACCTTCCAACTTCTTTTCCTTTCCCTTTCCCCTCCTTTCCTCTTCCCACCCTTTCTCTCTCTGCATCTCCCACTCTCTCCCTCAATTTCTCTCTCCCTGTGGTTCCATCCTTGGCGCAGACAGGGACCACCAACCACTCTTCCTCTGTCTCTTACCTTGACTGTGGGTATTCCAATCATAGGCGAGCCAGGCTAAGGCAAGCACAGACAAGATCCAGAATTTAGTGAACACCAGAAAGTAGGGTATAAGAAAAACAGGAATCATTCCTGAGGGGACACAAAAGTTCAGTTTCCTTCAAGTTTAATATAATTCTAACTCCCATCTCTGCTCTATACTGAAGGAGCAAGTCAAGGCTGGTGTGAGACCCTTCTCTCCCTTTTCCCTCACAACCCCTCCCAGCTCTGCTGTAGTCCAGGCCGACCTCTGTCTGAGTCCTTGGACCTGGGTCCCTTTGATGGCTGAAATCTTAACTGAGGAAAGAGCATAACCATGACATTCTCAGAGCAGGCCCTCAGCTGGGGTTGAACGACAGCTCTGCTTGGCAAGTGGCTTGGCGAGAACAGCACCTTGAACCAGTGGCTGACATCCCCATTCTGGGACCTCAGGAATTCCTTTCTAAAAGCTTGACCCTCCTTTCTTTGTGGAACTGCTAAGTCAGTACATACCAGAGGAGAGGGGCTGCCTGTAGTATACAGGCTGTTTGATGCTGAGAAGAAAACACATATTTAGAAAGTGCTTTACTATGTTCAGTTTTGTCACATTCAAAATGTCTGAAAACTCCGGAAGGGGGAATATTATCTCTGTTAGCAAAGGGCCACAGTAGGCTTTGAAATATAAACATGACACAACTCACAAGCAGTGGGAATTAAATTCCATTTTAAATCTGCATTCATAGGGTGCCTGGGTGGCTCAGTCGTTAAGCATCTGCCTTCTGCTCAGGTCATGATCCCAGGGTCCAGGGATCGAGCCCCACATCGGGCTCCCTGCTCAGTGGGAAGCCTGCTTCTCCCTCTCCCACTCCCCTTGCTTGTGTTCCCTCTCTTGCTGTCTCTCTCTCTCTCTCTGTCAAATAAATAAAGTCTTAAAAGAATAAAATCAAATCTGCATTCATGAGAAAGAGGGGCTAAGTACACATACTGTGAAAGAAAAAAAGACCCAGCTAAGGGAATGACTTCTCTGGCCAGGTAACCACATTATGGTAGATATAATTTCCAGAGAAGGGAAAGAAACTCAAGAGTTACTTAGCAGTGGGTTTGCCTCTTGCATTTTGGACATAGATGAAAATAACAGGAAAAAGATGAAGTGGGCCTTTTTTTAAAAAGTCATGTTATGGAGTAGAAGAAACCTTAGTGATAGGGCTGAATTCTCTTTGCAAGAGCTGGATGAGGTGGTTGTTAGAAGCATATGCTAATTAAGTAAGAAATAGGGGTGGGAGGAATTTGACAGGAACTTTTCCATGGATAAATGTCCTGCGACCTCTGACCCTCATAGAAGATGAGAGTAATTTGCCAGGTAAGCTTCAGAAGAAAACTCAGCAAGAATCATTATTAATTAAAGGTAGCGCCAGTGTATCATTTCTTTTATATCTTGCTTCAAATAAATTTAGTTTGTATCCTCAGTATTTAGGACCGTGCCTTGCACGCAGTAGGTGTTTAGCAAATATCTATAGACTGACTGAAAGATAAAGAAATGTTTTCTCTTTTCAGTAATAGGTAAACTTAAATGATTAGTATTTAGGCAGCATTTGTGCTGTTTAAATGTGATGCTATTTAAAAATAGATGGATTGTGTGCCTTATATCTGATCTCTTTCAGTTATTCACAAGTCCTAATGGTAGTCTAACCAAGGGCTATACTTCCAATAAACACTATCCCCCTTGTGGAATCTATTTTGAACTGCAGGTGTGGCACCTCAGGAGACCATAAATGTCCTTTGAGGACAAGTCTGCCAAATGCAGCCTGTTTGAGTGTCACTGGTGTCACGGTGATGGAAGTGCGATTTGAAGAGATAAGAGAAACAGAGGCCAAACATGGAAGAGCTAAAGCTCAAGGAACAAGGAGTTCTGTGACAGAAAGCAAAGGTATCTGAGGCAAGAATGGTGAAGAACAGCCATTTGTGCATATGGATATGTGACCCTCCCTTAGATATCATGGCCCTGACACCAGGAGAGTCTTCCAAAATCTTGTCTGTGTTCAAGTGAGAAGTCAGTGTAAATTATCAAGGAAGATGTTCACATAAGGCAGGCTCTTAATTTAGTTTGTATTGAAGATGGCCAAGCCATTCTAATAGATGTGTAGTGTGATGTCTCATCGTAATTTTAATTTGCATTTCCCAAATACCTAATGATGCTTAACAGCTTTCCATGTGCTTATCTGCCTTCTGTATATCCTCTTTGGTGAGGACGTATTTATTTCACTTTGGTCCCTTTTCAATTGGGTCTTTTTGTTTTGTTTTGTTTTGTTTTTACTGGTGAGTTTTAAGAGGTCTTTATACATTCTGGATACAAGTTCTTTGTTGGATATGCAATTTGCAGACATTTTCTCCCAGTCTGTGTTTATTTTTTTATATTGTTCTCTTAACAGGGTCTTTCTTAGAACAAAAGCTTTTAATTTTGATGAAGTAAAATTTATCATTTTTCCCCTTTACAGATTGTGCTTTTGATGTAAAAATCTAAGAAGTTTTTACCTCACTTCAGGTCATGAAGGTTTTCTTCTAAGTTTTTTACTAAACGTTTCACAGTTTGTATTTTACATTTATGTCTGTGATCCATTTTACGTTATTATTTTTTTTTAGTAAGATGTGAGCTTTTGATCAAGGTTCATGTAGTACATATGGATATCCAGTTGTTCCAACATCATTTGTTTAAAAGACTACCCCTTCCTCCATTGAAATGCTTTTGCATCTTTCTCAAAGATCAATTGGCCATAGGAGGGTTCAAGATGTGGTATAGAAGGATCTTAAACTCACCTTCTCCCATGCACAACAACTCTGCAGCTACACAAGGAACAATTCCCTCTGGAAAGGACCTGAAAGCTAACTGAGCAGAGCCTCTACGACAAAGGATAAAAGAGCCACATTGATATAGGTAGGAGAGGTGGAGACACAGTCTAGCAAGAAACCCCCACATTCAGGAAGAGTGACCCACAGTTGGGAGGGGGTCTTATAATCTAGAGCTCGTCCCTAAGGAGTGAGGGGTTTGTGCCTCATTTCAGGCCTCCCAACCCTTGGGAACTGCACCAGAGAGATGAGACCCCGAAGTGTCTGGTCTTGAGACCAACAGGGTTTACTTCAAGGAGAACGATAGGAAATGGAAAATTCACTCTTAAGAGGGCTTGCACACAGACCTGCTTGCCCTGGGACCCAGCACCAAAGCAACACTTTGAAAGGCGCCTGGACCAAATGTGGAGGAGACTCACGTATTAATCTTAATCATCTGCTGGAGAAAAAGAAACCTGTTTGAACGCTCTCCAAGGACGGAGGCACCAGTCGGTGTCATTTTTGAATTCTTCTGCTTTGTTGGTGTTGGTACTAGCAGGTGATTTTTTCACACCCTACCTCTAGCCTGCTAGCTCCAGTAGGACTGCCGCCTGCCCCCCATGCACTGCAGGTGCAGCCTACCCGACTGCAGCTGGGCTGCCAAGTGCCCCACCCCCACAGTCATGGCTCACCAAGCCACGGCCAGCAAGCACATGCAGCCCATACAAAGGACACCCCTTGAGCACCTGGCTCTCTTGGCCAGGGGAAATGCATTTCTGGGCCCCCTGAGTCCAAATCAATTGGAGAGATAGTCTTTGGCAGGCTACCACCCACAGGGCACTGCACAAACAGCAGACTGAAACAAACCCCTAGTCTTCATGTGAAAAAGTTTTATTTTCTTGTCCTAAAGCTTCAGAATGAGGGGCAGGCTTCAGGTTTGCCACACATCCAGGGGCTACAGAGGAACCCCCCAGGGAATACGGACAGGGCGACACCATGTTAGTGCCCTCCCTTGTCCTCCCCACAGCTGGCTGATACCACTCAGACGGGCGCTTAAAATCTAAAGCCACAATTTTTGCAGCTGTTGCCTAGGGGACACCTCCAGAGCTTCTTGTCTGGATATCGGCAGAGTTTATATTATAGACTCACAAGACTGTATATATTTGCCTACCTTAAAAACTGTTGCCTGAGGATCTGGTTTATAATTAGCCTGAAACTAAACAGTCTGAGATCTCTCTCTTTGGAACACTGACAAGTGTGGCTTACCCGCAACAACTGGAACCTATCAAGAACAAATCAGGCTACTTAAACAATTATAAAGGTCTGAGGAACAACCAAAAGCTAGAGAAAGGCTGAATGATAAATTCAATCTCCCACAAAAGGCCACTCTTTCAAGACTGGGAGAGATAGCTGTTACATAGAAACAATCATAGAGGGTCAAGCAAAATGAAGGCAGAGGAATATGTTCCAAGTGAAAGAACAAGACAAAACCCCAGGGAAAAAAGCCTTAAAAATGGAGATAATCTACCTGATAAAGAATTCAAAGTAATGGCCATAAAAATGCTCACTGAACTTGAGAAGAATGAACAAACACAGTGAGAGCTTCAACAATGAGATAGAAAAAATAATAAAGTACCAAACAGAAGTCATGGGGCTGAGGAATACAGTAACTGAACTGGAAAATACTGTAGAGGGGCTCAACAGCAGACTAGGTAAAGCAGGGTAAAGGATCAGTCAATTTCACAGGGAAGAAAAACTAACACCAAGCAGCAAAGAGAAAAAAGTGAAAACAAGTGAAGGTAGCTTAAGGGATTTATGGAACAATATCAAGCCGACTAACATTTGCATTATATGGGTCCCAAAAGGAGAAGAGAGAAAGGGGAAGAAAACTTATTTGAGAAAATAATGGCTGAAGACTTCCATAACCTAGGGAGGGAAATAGACACTCAGCTCTAAGAAGCAAAGAGTTTCAAATAAGATAAACCCAAAGAAATCTATACCAACACACATTATAATTAAAATGTCAAAAGTTAGATAAAGAGAGAGTATTAAAAGCAGAGAGAATAGCCAAAGTAATCTTGAAGAAAAGAGCTGGAGATATTACAATCCCAGATTCCAAGATACTACAAAGCTGTAGTAATCAAAACAGTATGGTCTTGGCACAAAAATAGACACATAGATCAATGGAATAGGATAGAGAGCCCAGAAACAAATCCATGCTAATATGGTCAGTTAATCTATAACACAGGAGACAAGAATGTACAAGGAGGGAAAGAGTCTCATCAACAAAT